GAAGCGGAGCTGTGTAACAGCGCTATTCCAACTGGTCCCAGTGCCATCGTTCTGCTGGTATCTTCAGCCATCCTCAAATTTCTTTTCTGAGGCTGTGGAATGATGTTGTTTCCCTGCTGCACTGTTTTCTGACTCTATTTTGTATCAGTAGGGAAGAAAACTTTGAAGTGCCTGAAATAAAACTGTCATTGCTATTTTCATCTGTCATTCAGGGAAGTTGTGGGTTTGACTAATCAAAATACTGTATTGCCTTAATGTAATGTTTTCCTAAAGCAAATAAAAATACAGAAAATATGTTTGCATATTTTCTGAATACTCTGAACTGTGTTTGGGATTATGCCAAAATATTTTTGTTTATTTAATTTTACTACAGCCAATGAGGGCTCCGAGCAGATGTAGTTTGCTCTGTAATGTAACCAGCTGGTTTTTAAAAAAAACTTTATGCTAATTTACAGAGTACTTCTTTTTTATACTTTAAGAGGGACTTAACACAAGGAAGTCCTGACTTCCTAAACATTGAAGGTTCAGATTTTTTGCTGTATTTATGTTATCTCTGATATATTTTTAAATAGTACACATTAAATAGAGCTGTTACAAACTGAAGATTCTCTGTTTCTTTGTTTACAATTTTATTTTCAATCATTTGAAACTTATAAGCTGAATCGTCACTCTATTTGACAATTACAACTTGCCTTATAATACTTCTAATTTTAGGGTGTAATCAGACAGTCAGTGACTCATTCAAGCTCTCTTTTTATTTTGTTTTTTTAATATAAAACTTATTGTTGCAGCCAGGAGCTATACAAATGTGCCCCCCTTATACTGCCTTTAAGTCCCCAGCCCCATTTTCTCCACTGAACTATCTCTTCTGTCACTAGTTAGCTAACATAAACTACTGTAAGTCTATCAGCAGCAACACAAAAGAGTAGTTCCCTTACATAAGTTAATGAGTTAATGAGACTCAGATCAGAGCCTTCACATTCAACTCTAGGCAGTTTTTTTTGTATATGAGAACTTATACTGATATTAAACATATTTTTTTAATACAATGAAAATTCTATTTTATTGTGAAAATAACTATGTTATAAAATAACTTAAATGCTGAATGTCTGCTGGCTCTTAGTCACATCATGTTTTGTGACGTTTTCTGAGCGTTTTCTCCTCATGTCTTACACATTTTAACGTAGCTTAACTGCCAAAACAGTGCAACATGTGTTGGCTCTATATCTTGCAGTGAAGGGGACCTGTGTAACAGCACTATTTCAACTGGTCCCAGTGCCATCCTGGGGCTGGTATCTTCAGCCATCCTCAAATTTCTTTTCTGAGGCTGTGGAATGATGTTGTTTCCCTGCTGCACTTCAGATTCTATTTTGTATCAGTAGAGCAGAAATAAAGAACTTTGAAGTTCCTGAAATAAAACTGTCACTGATATTTTCATGAATCATTCAGGGAAGGTCAGGGTTTGACTTGTTCAAATACTGTATTGCGTGAATGTAATGTTTTCCAAAGCAAATAAACATGCAAACAGAACATATATTTGCATATGTTTTGAATACTCTGGACTGTGTTTGGGAATATGGCAGAATCTTTTTGGTTTATTTAATTTTACTACAGTCAATGGGGGCTCAGAGCACAGGTAGGCTGCTGTGTGATGCATTTGTTTTTAAACAAAATAGAAGGAAACAAACTTAAAGTACTTCTTTGTATACTTCAACAGGAACTCAACATTAGGGAAATCCCCTCATAAATTTGTCCTAAATGCAAGAGTCGGATAACAGTTTTTAGTTGTAGGTGTTTTATCTCTAAGACATGTCAGAGTGATGCATGCAAACACAAAATAAAAAAAGTAAGGGAGGAAATACTTGTTCACAGCACTGTATGCTTCATCCAGGAAATTAGTGGACTGAAGTAACCTGGGTAGAAATGCAGCACACCTGAACAGGTTGAGCTCAGACTGGCTGCCTGTCATTTAGCTGGGGTCTTCGGCCCTTGACTGTAACATTGTCTGTGATGTGGCCTATGCAACCATGAGTAGCAACGTCTATTTACAGCACTGATAATGTCATGTGTATCCACCAGGGGAAGCAGTGTGGAGCCCATTAATTTAAAGCCTCGCTAACTTTATAATTATACTAAGGCTGCAAAAATGTATCAAGTAGATCACAAAGAGTACAGCCAAATGTGAGCAGGTACAATGTAGCGTCCATCCTCCTGACTTTCTGGACTTTCACTGTACATTAGTGTAGCACAGTATTGCCTGTGCACTGTTCTGTAGACTGTGAAAATACTGTGATGTAGGTTTCAAGTACTTGGAAAATGTATTCGTACTTTGTATTCCTACATAGTAGGCCTATTCACAGTATTTTACAGTATACTATTTGTATTGCAGAGCTGAAAGCTTATCAACACGAGGTGGTCGGGAATGTCTTCTGTCTCCTGAACAGGAGACTGAAATCATAGACATTGTTCTAGAAAATAACGCCATAACAGTACAGCAAATACAAAGAAAAGTAATAGAAGACAACAACATATTTCAAAATATTGATAGGGTCAGCTTAGAACACCGGACCATGTCTTGCATAGAAATAATCTGAAGATGAAGCAGCTCTACAGGGTGCCATTTGAATGCAATTCAAAAAGAGTCAAAAAAATTGCAATACAACTATGTGCAAGTAAGTCCCATACAATCCCACAATTGATGCATACTCTCAACACTGTGTAAATTACAGTACTGTACAGTACACAATAGCGACCAGTCCAAGTCTGTATTGCTT